TTACAACACGTCCAATTTTCCACAGACCCGCGTGACTTTTCTCCTGGATACTACTTTCACCTTGCGGTTACAAAACCGACGACGACGCCAACACTAAAAATTTTCCTTTTCCTTTTTGAGTGCTTGTACTTTGAGACTTAGACGAACTCCTACGCTAACCCAGCACCTAGGTCGACACTACACTATTGTACAACCACATCACCAGGTAGTAGCCGGACCCCTCCTTCTTTTTACCTATATGTTATTTACCTTTAGTTGTTTATTGTTTTTCGACATTTTACGGAAATTTAGAGGCCGGTAGAATAGACAATTTACACTTGGACAGTGGTGAAAAGATTAGGAAAAACTTTATATAAAACAGTGTTGGTAACATTAGGTGTACGACCTAATTATTCGATAAAGTTTCACCGTAATAATAATATAATGATAATAATAATAACCGATAATCTAGGAGAACGGTACGTAACTCATACAAATTTGGTATACGTACTTAGTAGAGTGAAAGTTGACAACTGTCAGAACACATAACTACTTTTGACTAAACGAGGGCTGACAGAAGTTTAACATTAGCTAACCTTTTACTAACAGTACATCAACATGAACTTACATGAATTGTCTGACATCGCACAAACCGACACACAGTTACAACGAAAACAAATTACATACAGACTTTCAACACGACAGCCCTGGGCGGGGAACTTTCGGCTCTACCACGTAAAGTTCCCCAATAGGGGTTATTAATGTTTACAGATATATAATGGTCTGCAACATCTAACTTTCAGGGATTAAGACCTCTTACAGCACAGTTTAATAGTACTATTAGTATTTAGGTATTTTGTTATATAGAGATATAGACCAACGGTAAATCGTGACATTTACATAAAACTCAGGGAACATACACAAATTGTTGTACACAAATCTTGTATACAACTTCCTACAATGTAAAGACCTCCCCCGGTTTCTTTCATTTTCCCCCTTATTAACGTGTTACCAATTCCTGATCCCCCCCCCCCCAATACCACATTACCACCCCTACAAATCTACTACGTGATTCCCTCGAAATTTCACACCCTGGTTCAAACCGGGAAAAGAGAGGATATATCACTCTCGGACATCGGACACAAGACCCACCCGTTTTGAAAGAAGATAGGAGCTCCACCTTCATCGAGACAAGGACTGTAAACCCTAGCTAAAGTGAACTATAACTTGAAAGAAAATAAATTTATATTGTTTCTGTGTTGAAACAGGGTACTACGTTAGTAAAATAGTCAAAGAGGAATTCTTAAAGGAGGTGGCTCTTCGTTGTTCTGTCGGTCGTCATCTCTGACGTCGTACCCTAGCAGTCCATCACGGGACGCGTCCATCGGCCGGTCCTTCTCCCAGGTCGTCGACGTTAGCCAAAGTCCCCAGAAGGGCATGGGCCGTCACCGGCCTAGAGGTCCTACCGAGGTCGGACTCCGACCTGTCCCCCAGTAAGTCTATGGCGGCATGCGTAGCCGGGAGCAGAGGTCGGGGGGAGGAAGTTCGTCCTGGGTAGACACAAGCCCCAAGGGGTCATGTGCCACGACGACAGTACGCAGACTCTTCTTTAGTGGTTGTTGTAGTCAGACAACTCACGTGTTTCTTAATATGTGTATTAGAAGCAGCATATAGTTTGAGTTTGGTGTCTAGGCTCGGGCCTCATCACTCCACAGATTTACAAAGAACATTGAGTGATGATTAGATAACTATCCCCCGAGCCTACAGGTGGAAGCTGGGGTGGAGCTGGGGTGGTGGTGGGGGGGGCAGGCGAGCAGCAGCAACGTGAAACACAGCAGCAGGAACATGAACGTAGCAATAGCAAGTGAACACAGCAGCAGGAACATGAACGTAGCAATAGCAAGTGAACACAGCAGTGGCAGCAGAGGCAGGAAGACCTGGCAGCTTGAATAGAGCGGCATGTTTAGGAGAATGTGTTTGGTTGGTTGTAAGAGAGACGAGGTGAGTCACGTGTTAATGTATCATTGGTGCTCGAGTGGACTGCCTGAACTAGCTCGCAGGCTTCGCCCCATTTCTGCCACCTTTCTTAATAAAAACAACAAAAAATGGCAGAGTTTGGTGGTGTAGCATTTTATGGGAGTTTGTAACTGTTTCAAGGAGCTTAATTGTCCTTCGAGGTATCTGTGTGACCCTGAGTGGCTACGGGCTAAAGGCAAACGTTTGCTCCGTTTATTACTCTGATATCCTAGAATTCAGACAGCCGATGACTAAAATCCTTCATTTAGTTAGATATTTATTGCAAAACTAATCGTGCATGGTCAAAGTGTGGCTTGAAGACTGGATACAAATTCCATTTGGGTCAGCTTCTGGCTAGCATTAGCTTGTTTCTCCTGATAACCTAAAATGCAGACGTACGATGACTTCTGGTTTGTAAATCGTTGGGAAACATTTGGAATAACAGAAGTAGGCCTACACAACTTTTTAACTATTTCTCTTACGGCATTTGGCTTCTCTTTTCCAGAGTGTATGTATATGGTAAGCATTATTGGTTAGGAAGAGGAAAAACAGAAACAACATTATTGTGCTGAAACTTTTTAAGTGCTTAAAATATGAACCAAAGGGATTTGATTTCATTCATAGCATGATTCCAGTTTATTTACATGTTGGACTTCACGTCTTCAGAGTCTTTGACGATGAGTGTTTGGCATTAAATAATTCTAATGAGCAATGACAACAGTTAATTGCAAATGTTGCTGTTGGGCGTGTAGGAAGCAGGACTCGTGGACCAGAGAGCAGGTGAAACTGAACAAGAGCTCTGATCCTCTGTGGAGACACGCCGGCTTCATCGTGGCTCAGATGGATGGACTGCAAGCAGGAGTCGCAGAATGGGCCAAGAAACAAGGGAAAAAGGTAGAAAAGCCACATAATTATAATATTATCTTATTGAAACTCTTGTTTAAACCGGCTCTAGAAGCAAACTTTTCGTCACATCCTAAAGTATACCACAACAAGAGTGAAACAAAGTGCATAACATGTATAAACCAATAGGAAACATCAGGTTTGAAGTATAGACATAACACATAGAAGTTCCCTAACAAAGCAGTCACCATGAATATGAAGTTTATAAGTTAGATACTTCTAATGTTTTAAAGCTTTAAATAGGGCTCTGCCAAGTTCTTATTTAAAATGAGGAATCTCCAGTTCACACCAAACTTGTGACTCATATATCACAGTTTGTTTCACTCTAAAAATGTAAAGAGACATGAGATTATATGTCTTGTGTTTGCTCTGTAGATAAAAAGAAGATTTTCCAAAAGTTAGTTAAAATCCAACTAATGATACTACTGTTGGTTCCAAAAGTGTCTTGCTACTATCAATGAAATCGACAATATTGCTGGATAACAATTTATAACATTGTCTTTATTGCATATACACCTCACATACTATTGTTTTATTGTGTTAAGCAACAATTTAAGTTAAATCATATATTTTTGATGACGCATAAACTTAAAAACGCAGCTTAGGAAGTGCAGATATTGAATGAAAATATCCCGAATTCAGTGATTTAAGCTATGAACAGTTGTTTTTTAAGTGATACAATATTGTGTGGGTGGCTTCTTACTATGGAAGCAGCACTACTAGTCATTTCCCTTTGCTGACCAGCATCTGTGTGTCTGCTTGTTCCCTTAGCCGCTGTCCCTGTTTGCGATCCAGTTCCTGAATGCGGTGGGGGACCTCCTGGATCTGATCCCAGCTCTGCACCGCTCCTCCAACCCTCCGCTCAGAAACTACAAACTCCCAGGGATGGGACACTGCTCTGCTCTCATCAAGGTCAAAGGGCAACACATATCGTGCCTTACATGCTCTACATTAGGCTTATGTAAATCAAAGAGTAGCGAAAGAGTCAAACACACATTAATAGAATGGCATAAGGTGTTTTCATCAAAGCTCCTGTGTACAAAATATTGTTGAGCAAATACATTATGTACCAGCTTTTGCAATCTCAATCTCAATCTTTATTTATTTATATAGCACATTTAAAACAACCTCAGTTTACCAAAGTGCTGTACAGGCAATAAATACAATATAAAATAACACAAGTTGAATCTAAAAGGACGTTCATGCTGTATGTAGGTTTTGTTGTTATGAGCACAAGAGCTACAGCATAGTTGGCACTAAAACACATAAGTAAAATATATTGTAGGTTTCTTTGGAAACATAACAAAAGGGTCCATGTTGCAAAAGAGCTAAGAGTTTATCTCTCATCCAAAATTGTATCTTAGCATGAAGTATAACCCTGAGGTGCTGAGTCATGTGATCCACATCGACACAAATACCAGTCATTAGTGCTGACACAGGAATACCATATCGACTGTTGAGTCTAACTCCATTTGACTGTTTCTCTTCAGATGTTGCCTGGCTTTGAGAATCTCCTGTTTGCCCACTCCAGCTGGTACACTTATGCTGCCACAATGCGGATCTACAAACACTGGGATTTCCACATCACTGAGCCCCACACAGCCACTGGGAAACTGTCCTTCAGCAGCTATCCTGGTACTTAGGAATTCACCATAGCAAGAATTCCTCAAAGATAACATTGGTGACATCGCATCCATTTGCAATCAAAGTTTTCCAGATTGTCAGAAAAGGTTATCTTTCTCTCCAGGTTTCCTCGTGTCTCTCGATGACTTCTACCTCCTGGGCAGTGGTCTGATGATGACCCAGACCACCAACAATGTCTTTAACTCCTCCCTGTTTGACTCGATCACTCCTAACAGCCTGTTTGCATGGCAGAGGGTCAGGCTGGCTCACAGTTTGGCACATACCGGAGAGGAGTGGGCCAAAACCTTCTCCATGTACAACTCTGGTGAGTCCTAATGGGTATAAAGCACTAAAGGCAGTAACAGCAACCTGAGTAACCCTGGGCTAAAGGCTACATTAGCCACTACTAGCTTGCATGGAATAAAACACAAGATGTATCTGTATCTGCTTGCTTAGGTACCTACAACAACCAGTACATGGTGTTGGACAGGAGCAAGGTGAAACTGGGCCACAGTGTTGAAGATGGAGCTCTGACGGTGGTGGAGCAGATCCCCGGGCTGGTGGAGTATTCTGACCAATCACAGGCTCTGCGCAGAGGTAACATCAGATCTCTTTCCCCCGGTTTTCTTCTGTAGTTTTTTTTAAGACTTTCTCTTTGCCTCCATTTTCCACAGGTTACTGGCCCTCCTACAACGTCCCTTTCCACCAGAAGATCTACAAGATGAGTGGGTATGGAGAGATGTGGGAGGAGTACGGAGAAGACTTCTCGTACGATCTCTGTCCCAGAGCCAAGATCTTCCGCCGTGACCAGGCTGATGTTAAAGACATGGACTCCTTGAAGCACATCATGAGGTCTAATGGTGTGTGGATCAGTTTGTTTGGTTATGACCATTATATGTACGTTGTCACCGTTACGTCACCTGTTTCTTTAACAAATGTAACCTTAAGTGATCAAATGTGGACAGGTTTGTTGATCTGACAGAGGCGAGGCCTGTGGGATACCGAGTCATGCTAGCTCTACCTACCTAGCTTGGTTAGCAAGGTGCATCCGTAACTGTGTGAAAGCTAATTCAGTAGCATAAGATTCACTATTCAGATCTTATTTCTCTTCTTCTTATTGAATTTCTTCCGTTCGTTCTTTGCTGTCTAACTACTACAGGATATTTAACCATGTGGAGTCAACACTTCTGCTCTAAATTCCATATTGAGCACATTTAATGTTCTTACTATTTTTTGCTCGTTTGCAGACTACAAGAAGGATCCATACTCTAAGGGGGATCCATGCAAGACCATCTGCTGCCGTGGCGACCTGAATGCAGAGAATCCTTCACCAGGAGGATGCTACGACACTAAGGTAGCGCCTGTCCCCACACTGATCTCACATGACACTGATTACGTATTTTGTAGGCCGACCTTGTAGGTGGCATTGCAAGGGCTCCATCGACAAGAAGCAATAGGATTTTTTTGTGCAGAAAATAAGACATGGGGCAAATACATGTTTATGATATTTACAAGCTAAAGGTCGGCATTATGACGTATAGTATTTCATTTTGTCACTTGTTGGCTAACACATAGAAGCTTCAGACAGTCACCAGTGTGGTATTTACTGATATATTTTATTTTGTACAACAAAACGTTAAAACCTCCTAAGCTTCGGTTAACCTCAGACCTTATTTCAGGACTATAACCGATAACACGTTAAAACAAATATTGACTTGGAGACAAAGGAACCATAAGTGGAAAAATGCTAACTAATTTCTGGTTTTAGGTCTCATTTCTGCACCACTCTATAGAGACCAAATGTCTTTTATCTCAGATTCTCTCTGATCCCTGTGTTGTTGTTGGTCCAGGTGACAGATTTCCACATGGCTGGAGAGTTTGTTGCGGAGGCGGTGAACGGGCCGACGACAGAGGACGGACTCCCGCCGTTTGAATGGGATAAATTCAGCAGCATGAGCCACCAGGGTCTGCCGCAGTTCTACAACTTCACCTTCGTCAAGATGCGGCCTCTTATCTTCGAGCCATGAGGTGTGTGTGTGTGCGTGTGCGTGTGCGTGTGTGTGAGTCAGATTGAAATGCAGTCTGTCTGATTAATTGTGAGAGTCAGAATTGCGTCCGGCCGACAAATGCTTTCTTTATAAGGTTTTTGCATTTTCTTAGTAACAGTCATTTCCTTCAAACTGATGAAATCTCAAACTTCACACCAGATTTATAATTAGTATTTATATTACTTTTGGTACCTGCAGCCATTCGTGCCTTAACCACTGTGAGTTACTTGATGATTTTATAAAATGCAAAATCAATGCACTAAATCAGTGGTTATCTGTAACCCTTTTTTGAAATGCTTAAATGTCTGTTATGTGCCAACACTATCGTTACTATGGTAAATGAATCACTCGGTGCAATCCTCAGGGCTGGTGATCTGCTCTAGTGCTGTGATTTATGAGCAGTATTTCGTGTGCAAAATGAACATCCTCAGGTTAAACTTTATGATGTTGATGTGTAACACTGCAAATCTGTTTCATGCCAACATTTGATGTGCTAATTGTTTATTAAAGTTTTACAGCACAGTCCTGTCTCCTTACTTGTGTAACAGTGACTCTTGGTTTGACTTTGTATTGCTTCTGTCAATAACAAGAAGTGAAGGAGACGGTTGCAAAGCTCAACAGCTGTAATATCATTGAGAGCCACAAATATGAATATGTAGTTCATGAAAACTTGCAATGCATTCCATGGAAGAGAGGTTTTATGTTTTAGAAGCCTGTGGCATCATATGTATTATTATCTGTCACTCAAATAGTCATTCAACCTGATCAGCAGTCACGAAAGTTAAAAAATATACTTTTGATTTATTTACATAGTTCATCCATATAAATGTATAATGTAAATAAATAAATAAATTAAAATGCATTTGAAATTTAAACATTTTTAGATGAATACAAAAAATCATTAATAAACTGAAATGTTATTTATTAAATAGCTTTCCAATAAAAATAATCAAAAAATATAATGATTTGTAAAATAATTTCAATTCATATAATTGTTTTTAAGGGGTAATAATTCAAATGAAATAAACTAACATAACTATATTAGAGCTGATGAAGGTGAAAGCTAAAGTAAACAACTCAAATGAATATCGTTACCAATGAACCATGTAGACAAACAGTCAAATGATCGTAGATGACTGGAATATTTAATAAAAACTAAGAAACTTCGAGGTCGAGACCTCTTTGTTTTTGAACAGAAACGGTGCGTTTTGTCTCTTTCTTTTTGCCCCCCGGGGACGCATGCAGTGAGTCACCCTTTCCTTTGAGATGGAGGAACTGAAACGTCTGTTAGGCACTCTGCATTAGTTTCATTAATCCCCCGCTCGCAGCCCTCCTCTGTGTCTCACAGTTTTCTGTCTTAAGCGACACGTTTTCTTCCTTTTAGTTTGTGTATACGATCAGGGAGACAGCAGCAGGTCTCCACATTGCTTCTTCAGCCATGGCCAAGAAGGACTGTCCTGCTGGCAAAAAGTGGGATAGGCTCGTGGACATGTGTATCGATCTCAAGGTGGAAACCAGACCTGAACCTGGACAAACAGGTGAGTTTCACTGAAGAGATATATCACGTCGAACTCAAAGCTATCTTCCGAGCTGAGTTGTTTCGTTAGGTTTTGTCTCAAAACCTCTTTGAGTTAGTCGTGGTTTTGTCCTTAGTTTGACTTGACATCATCAAAGTCAACTTTATTGTTAATCTTTCAGTTTTTGTGTACAGACAGAGAGATCGAAATACCGTTTCCCTCAATCCCGTATACAAAAAATACAGATGTATATATAAAAATATGTATACACCTATATATATATATATACACAATCAACAGACACATTTATACATATGCACACATTAAGACATAAATAAAAGCACAACAATCAATATATACAAAATAACAGTCACTTCAATATCTTTGGGAAATGTACATTAGTGCAAGATTGTTACTTTCTGATGTTGACTTGTTTTTCTTGCAATTGAATAGATGTTTTCAATCAGGGCTCTGCAATGAGTGTTGCTAGATAACGCCTTAGATTATAACGTTATATGACATCAGTGTTGACCTTTCCTGGTTTTAAATGCTTCATTGGGATTGTGAATTTTGTTAAGGTAGTTATTAATGAACTATAAATAAATCACTGCTCCTAGTACTAGGATGGGTAAAAAGCAGAGAACACATTTCACTGTGTGTGCTGTGTGCATGGACATGTGTGACCAATAAAGAGAGCTTCATCCTCCAATTCTATTCTACCTAATTAACCTGTCCCCCTCAGAGCCTGCCCTGGCTGTGGGGGTGCAGCTGAGAGACACGGCCCCCGCTGTCCGGGCCCCCCCACTGGTGCTGCTGGGTCCGGCCCTGTGGATCGTGGTGGTTCTGGCCACACTGGGCTCCATCCTGGCAGTCACTCTCTGGTTTATCATTTACAGACGCCAGACCAGGCACAGCGGCACCTCAGGTAAAGACAACTGTGGCATCGATGATCAACATGACGTTCTTTAGTTTCAAGTTTCAGTTTCAAGGCTTTATTGTCATGTGTACATAGCTACAGTGTAGTTATGAAAATCAACATCTTAGGTCACTGGCTCCTCCAACAGTGCACCAGAATAACACAGATAATAGTGCAGGTAAATAGAATAGAATAGAAACAGTGCAGAATAGTCTATATACAGTAATTGGAATATTGATATGAGTTGCAAACAGATGAATGTTATGGATGTTCTTTCTACTAGAAAGCTGCAGCTGATTCAGAACGCTGCTGCTGCTGTGGGTGGGTGGATGGATGGATAGGTGGGTGGATGGATAGATGGATAGGTAGGTAGGTGGGTAGGTAGGTGGATGGATAGCAGCCTTATTGTGCTTTTTGGGGTTCTGCCTTTCCTGTAGTTTGTTATAAAGGTTTTTGTGCATATGAAAGATCTGCTAAGGCTGAAATACCAAAGTTCCCTCCAGAGTGAGTTTCTCTCCCACAAACCTTGCCTGAATCACCTCCATTGGACTCCCTTGTCTACTTGTGAGACATAATGACATCACTATGCAACACTCGCGCTTCTATTGGCTAGCGCTCCAACCCATTTTGCGTGATAGGCTAAGAGGGGGTACATCTCTAAGCGGTTGACCAATCACAACAGAGCCGGCCAGCTAACCAATCAGAGCAGACTGGACTCTGGTTTCAGACAGAGGGTGAAAAGAGGTGCTGCAGCACAGACAGTATGAGAAAAATAAAGAGCTTTTTGAACATTAAAGCATGGAGAAATGTCCCAGTAGAGACACACCATGTGACTGTAAGCACGGGTCTGAGATGCAGAGTGTGCAACTGAGAGTCGTGTGGAGGAAATGGGGTCGCAGAAGGAAAGGTGATGAAGTGTGACGCTCATTACAGTAGAGACTCCACAGTTTCTGTTCTCTTCTTCTCCGCGTCCCCATGGGGTCAGCTATTCTGGTTTCAACACACATCCTGAAAGAGAACCACAGAGAACTGCTAACAGCTTGCACTCCATCGTGTAACGGCTTTATCTTTAACCTCCTAAGGCCCAAGCTGTTTTTTTACATGCATTTTTTATTTCTCTTTGCTATTTGGGCTTATTGGACCCTAATTAGAATAAAAACTAAGAATCATCTTTTGATATGATGTACTTTTAGAGAAAAATGATGTCAACATATGTGGATTCTTGGTCCGAATTTCCATAAAACCCAATTAAGTCACCATTGAGTAATAGAATGAAAAACTCTTTATTTCCACCTTGAACACAGCAGTGTTTTTCCTGACTGCTTTTGCATGTATTAATAACACATACACACATATTTTTGAACATGTTTTGAATATCAGAGT